AGGTCTGAAGCTCTTTTTATTCCGATCTAACAAAATAGGCCAAACATTACGATAGGATGGATATCTGGCAGCGACCTCGCACCAAGCAGTGCTTGTGTGGAATCTGACCCCACCACGTGATTGTGGAATTCGATTTTAATGGCGGAATTTTGTGGCGAAAATCTCACATAACGCAATGGTCGCAACGTTCCGCCCGCTCTCTGAACTCACACAGCCTTTGGGCTTTGCTCACGTGACCTTTAGGCTTTACTCACAGCCGTTGCCACGGGCCGAGGGGTCATCCCAGTCTGGGACAAGTAAAGAGCGCCGAAGCAGTCCGAGCCTATCCACCCCGCCACCGGCTGGTTCGGAGGCGGACATTCGAACTGACTGAGCTACGGGGCGGAGCCAGTGAAGCCAGTGAGCCAAGTCAGCAAACCGACTGAGTTACGGGACGGAGCCAGTGAAGCCAGTGAGCCAAGTCAGCAAACCGACTGAGCTACGGGACGGAGCCAGTGAAGCCAGTGAGCCAAGTCAGCAAACCGACTGAGCTACGGGACGGAGCCAGTGAAGCCAGTGAGCCAAGTCAGCAAACCGACTGAGCTACGGGGCGGAGCCAGTGCAGACGGTGAGCCAAGTCAGCAAACAGGCGGCCAGGCAGAAGTGGGCACAACGCTTGTGGTCACGAGACTAAACATAATGACCGGCATTGCGGGAAGGTGGCTCTGATGTGCTGATACGTTACGTTCACGTGCTGCCGGACTTATTTTCGATGGGTACACGCCATCAGGACTACGAAAACCATTGCGCTTATGGGAGATAAGTCTCTGCTGGAAAAACATCACGTGCAGCGACCACTGATGCATTGCGATAAGTCGGGGTCTTGTTCGCAGAATAAAACGAGGACTAAAAAACATTATGTATCACGTTATAGAAAACCAGCGTGACGGTACAATATCATGCGGCTCCGGTTCGCGACATCAGCGAGACATTATCTTTCACTGGCTTCACTTCAAGGGACGGGAGCACCACCTCCCGTTCGAGCTTCGGTCCCCGGGCTGTCTCGCTGATCACGTCCTGGTGACTCTCGCTCCACGCGAATAAGTACTCGAGCTTCTTCATCATGCGGCGGAGGCCGGGCCGGGTCGGGCCGGGCTGCCGTGCCGCCGCCGCAGCCGCAGACGTTCCAAACGCCTCGCTGAAGCTGTCGCCGGCTCCCGCGGCGGCCGGCTGGGGCCGGACCCGATCCTGGCCGGCTTTCAGCTGCGCCAGCGCCGCGTCCAGCAGCCGCCAGAGGTCGGAGAGCGCGGCCAGCACGTACCAGCTGGCGTCGTCAGCGCCCGGCCCGGCCAGCAGCTGCTGCACAGCGGCGCGCGCCTCGCGCCGCAGCGCCTCATCGGCCTGCCAGGCGCTGCCGCCGGCGTGGAAGTCGACCGCCTGGACGGCGGCGCGGCCGCTGTCCATGACCTCGCCGCGCGAAAGGCACCCGCTCAGAAGGCAGAGGCCGTCGCTAGCCTCCAGCGTCGACGCCGACCAATCGCCGTCGTACAGCAGGCGCAGGTACGCGTACGCGTACAGCGCGTTGATGACTGAGTTGATGACGAGCGGCGAGGACGGCTGCTTGGTGAGCGCCGAGAGCGGCGGCACGCGCCCCAGCAGCGGCGGCGCGGCGGCCACGAACGCCGGCACCTCCGCCTCGCGTCCCACCTCGGTCACCTTGGCGCGGCCGCCCCTCAGCGTCCACCAGGGCCGCCAGCGGTCGCAGGGGATGGCGCCGCCGTCCGCCTGGCGCCGGAACTCGTCGCGCTCGGCCGGCGTCAGCCGACTCCACACGGCCTCCGCGTCGTCCAGGTCGACGCCGCGCATCCGCTCCGAGAGCTCGTCCTCCGAGTCGCTGTCGTCCGAGTCGGCCGGCTCGTCGTCGGCCTGCAGACGCGCCTCGCGCGCGAGCGTCTCCTCCATGCGCCGACGCACGGCCGGGTCCGGCTGCTCCCGACGCAGCGAGTCCATCACGCACTCGCGGTAGAAGCCCTCCGAGCATCGCTCGTGGCGGCTGGACCGGTAGCAGGGCAGCGAGCAGTAGGGCACGCCGCAGCGTGGGCACACGTACTTAGCGCCATTGGCGCAGAAGGTGCACGTGCCGGCGCTCATGCTGCCGTCTGGTGGCGGAGAGTGGCGGGGGACAGCCGACAGCGGCTTGTATTGACGGCTGGTGGCTGAAACGATGAAAAACAATACCTAGAGGACACAGGCAAAGCTTCTCTGGTGCTGGCCGCATGACAGCTGTGTCAACACCCAACAGACACAAAACCACACAGGCAGGAAAACTTTTCAGATTTGTGCATTTGGCAGCAATATGCTCAATGAAGTGATTACAGGAAATATATTAATTGGGTCATACATAATGTCAAAATATACAATTTTTAATACACACAGCAAGCTTCTAATGAACATAACAAATATATCCAGGAGTGTGCTAGCAATGGGGGCCAAAGGTGGCTAAGCTGACCTAACTTCCTAAAAATTTGGCATGGGACCTACAGGCATTGACCACAATGAAAAAACAGCTATCAGATTCTTGACTTGAGAGAACTTCAATTGCCCCAGATTATACCTGCAATATAAAACAGCACCAGCATGCTCCTTTCCTTAAACCAATGCTTTAGAACATCTTTACAATTTGTATTGCTCATTGCTCATCATCATACAGGTGAGACCTTTCTTGCAGAGTAAAACTTGATGAAAAGGTCTTTTGCAAGGTGGTGGTACAAGTGAGGTGATAAAAGCAGGGCACACCACAGGTTTTAAAAAGGGGCAAGGTTTCCCAGGGGCCTATGGGACAAACCAGTGCCTCCACACAGGAGGACTCTTGCACAATGTCAGGGTCAAGAGGAAGGGGCACCAAGGGTGCTTGTCCCTTATCAAACTTACATGCATCATGCCTGAGTAAATCAATGTTAACAGTTGGCAAAACTGTTGAAAAATATTTCTATTTGAGGTGGACACTGGTTGCAGTAAACTGTGTTATGCACACACATAGGCCAGTTTTAGAAAAGTTCATGCTGATTGATACCATGATTTACAGTCTTCTTCTTACAGATAACATGCTAGGTATCTTCTACAGTAACATCCACGTCCGTACCTGCTCTGATTGCCAAAAAATGGCATGCATCCTTAAAAATGTCCAGAAATGGGCTGATCCCAGGTTTACGTCCGATGACCGCGCGCAATCTGCGCTTATCGACCAACAGTCTTGTCACCAGGAATGCGTAAGGCGTACATGGCGGTCCCTTACCTCACTCCAATATCAGTGGAGGGAAAATCACGTTCACGTAGTATTCATCGCATTCATCGCCTCAATCCGAATACTAATCCTTCAAGATAGGTCCAAGTAGTCCTAAAAAAACGTCTGAACGTCGCCCGCACAACCATCCCAATCCCGATTAACCCAGGTTAGCCCACGCTAACGAAAAACGTAACACGGTTTTGTCGCAGATGCGCAATATATTGCAATAGGGTGCCTCCTTAGTCGAGCAGAACTACCAAATTCCACAGAATATTTTTCATTTGTCCTTATTTTTTGTTTCAAATCGAAATGCCGTGTGACTGTATACGTAAGGCAGGCGTTCAGTTCAGTTGTTTCATCACTTACATCGTCGACGCTGGCGGAAGCAAGGAGACTTCCCCGCGCTGGAAAAACAAACTGACCTGTAAAGGTCCCGTATGATTCCAAGTCCCGACGAATCAAACAAGTCCAGGTTTTCACTATTATCATAGACGGAATAATCAAGTCCAGGTTCCAACTATTATCATGGCTGTCCAATGTCCTCTCATGGCGCACAACTACAACTACTCACAGCTGGGCAGAACCACACCAAGATTCGCAGCAAAGCGACTGAATCCGCACCATTCGTTTACTGTACTGTAACCACATACGCAAGTGGAGATGCCGAACAAAGCTGGCGCAGCATAACTGCCGGTACAAGAACGTCCAATTAGCTGTCGATAAAGGAATGTTCATTGTCATGATATCGGTGAAAGCTGGTGTGCCTGTCGCAAAGGGCATACCGCATTCCCCACGCGGGGTACCACGAAAGTTTTACATTAGACACGTCCGGGCCGACATGCATTGCTTGGTGCCATGGCCTGTCTCCAGCCTGATGTACTTAAAATAATCATCACCGGACCGGCGCGCAGCGGCGCGCTTCCATATTAATTCGTCCCGCTGCGACCGCGCTCGTCCCACTGCGCCTTTCATGAAACGAGAGGTGAAGAGCGGGGTCAGCCAGGTTAATCATTGGCGCAGGGACGGGGGTTCCGTAGTTGTCATGGAGCCCCCAGATTGCGATCATGGGTAACCCCATCACAAAGCATGACAAGAATCGACGTCAAAATTGGCCTCGGCGCCCTTTATCTCTGAGGCGCTCCTCCACCTACGTCGTACAGCACATTTCTGCTGAAGAAGAGCAAGGGAGTAGCGTACCCCGCGTGTCCACGCAATCGGGATCTCTGTTGACCCGACCTGACCATCCGCAGTTTTTACTGGTGAGCTCGGAAACGGTTCACTACGAAATGGAGTCCACACGGAGTCGGCCTGACCCTCCGAGTACTGGTTTGACCTTGAGCACTGGTCTGACTCTGAGCACCGGTCTGACCAAGAGCATTGGTCTGACTCTGAGCACAGGCCTGACCTAGAGCACTGGTCTGCTCGCCAGGGGTTGGTGCAGCATTCGCCGCACGCGGTTTCCCACGGCCCGAGGCTCTAGGCGGCACAGGCGACCAGTTCACTAAAGCGCTCTTAACACGAGCGCAGTCTCAAATGCCGGTGAAATTAATGGCGGCCTCCAGGACCGAGCAAGTCAGTGACGTACCCTGCCCAAAAACCCCCGGCATGCTCATTTCGCTGTATTAAGTAACAACTTCAACAACTAAAGCTCGCTGAAGCATCTTGGTGAAAGCGGCATCCGACGGCAGAACACTCAGTTTGACCGCACGAGGACGACCCATGCAGCGCATGGCGGTCAGAGCGCCTCTCCGGACGCCTGCGCGGGCGGACACGCGGCGCTGGCGAGAGCGGGGAGCGCCAAGTCACTCTCTAAGACGACAGCGGGAGGTTAATCCGACGCGCAGAACACTCGACTGAGGTGCCACAAGCGTCGCACATGACAGCTGTGGTAGTGCGGCGCGCGTTACGCAATACCACGCGCTAACACAAGTCACACGTCTTGAAAGTGCCGACCACACAAGGTGAAAGAATATCCGACAAAAGCGAAACACAAGAGCTGGCAGTACGAGTAGCAGCCTGGTAGTAGAGAAGACCAGATGACACATTACAGGTCGACAAGAGCCCAACTTCAAAGTACTGGCGACGTTACCAACCGCATCCATAGAAGAGGCACTGTCTTATAGTTACTTTAATCGAATATACATGGGTCATCGAGTTCCATTAGCTCGCGTGCTCCGACATGACACACCAGTCAGTTTTTCCACCCCAGCCTTTATGTAATTTCAACCCCGATTTGTCCCTGATCAGCTGGCACTATGGCTGCTCTTATGACGTCATCTGGACCAATCCCAGCGGTGCTCAGGTAATGCTGCACTGCTAATGCTGACCGCTCGGTACAGAAGGCACCCTATCCAACAAAGCGGAGCTGCTTGGGGACGTCCGTGGTTGCTGGGAGATGCATCTAAATCATGGTAACTAATCTCGTGTTCTAACAACGAGTAATGAAAGACCGACAGCTGGAATATTATGCCTAAATACGTCGTAAAAAAGCGCACCATATGAACCCATCTGGAACGTACAAGGAAAATAAGCAATTCTGCTAGAAGGCGTGGTTGAAATTACGACACACGTGGTAACTAACGCCTTACGCCACAGCTATGTCGCTATCAAGATTGTAAAGTGCATTTACATGATTGCCGCATACCTGAACACAACGCAAATGAACTTTTGTAGAGGATACATTTCTGCGCCTTTCTGGGACGAAGCACGTAAAATGCGGACAGCAACTCACACAGCCCACAAAATATGCTAACCCACACACAAAACCAGTGTTCATAACCTTTCAAATGGACGTCCCGCAAACTAGTAACGTTTTGGAAACCCGTCCCGATCACTTTAGCACATAATGGTTCGTTGTAAATTGAGACATTGGAAAGCACTCTTCGTCATATTGCTTGTACTGGAATCAGCCGAGTGACACATTTGCTAGCCCAAAAGTAAACAAAGACACTCAAGAGTGCAACAAGCGAAAAAGACGATGAAGCCTCAAAATATACAAGACGAAAAGCATGCACAGATATACGCAGACAATTAATGTAAAGCATCAGTCGCTGGCTGTGGAGGATGCAGCTTTGAAAGTAAACTCATCTTTCAGCGCACACTTGCAAGTCGCAGAGTTAAAAGTGAATGTAAATACACTGAAGTCGCATACACAGCTCCGCACGACTGCACAGCCCCGCTGTGAGTGAGCGGGAGCGATACGCGCTGCCGGCCACAATCTGTCTTCAGTGTCTCGAAAGCGCTCATTGCACATCACAGTTGCAACTCTGCGCTTGTGCGCACGTGTCGGCGGAGCACAAGTTTGGCACAATGCGGAGTGTTAATGAGGGGTTTCGACCGGTACTGACCATCAACATGACATTCGCTCTAGTAGCATTCAACGGCGACCCTGACAAGCGGCAAGTGCGGGTAGACTCGCACTGACAGAACCCAGCCCAGCAACAGCCATGGATAATTTGGCCACTGGTCCGGACAGACAATACCGATAACTGCGACCGTGAGCGAGATGCGACAGGACACACTCCCGCAGCTGCGCGCGGCGCCCGACCATGCTACTCTTCGCGAGATTCTGCCCTCTGTCTACGGAAGCGTGGTCACGTGGGACAATCTACCACTGGTAATGCAGCTACAGACAGCTGACGGGGGCGCGCCGATCGCCAGGCGGCGCCAGCGTCGGCCGCCACTGCCGACAGCGAGACCTCGGGCCCGCAGACCCGGCGCAGTCGTCGGTGCTGTCGCGCCGCGGGGCCGAGTCCTGGCGGGCGGCGGCCGGGGAGGGCGGCACGGGTCCGGACCTCCAGCGTCGGCCGGCCCGGCGGCGGGCGGCGGGCGGCGGGCGGCGGCCGGGGAGGCCGGCACGGTCCGGACCTCTAAAGCCCGCCAGCCCAGCGCCGCCGATGTCGCAGCCACTCTAATCGCCGTGCCCTGCCGGTCCACCACACGAGCGCGTGAGAGCGTGAAACATCGAGCGCCGATACTCTCGGGGCACCGACATCGCGAGCGCCGACACTGCAGGCCAGCGACCGAGACGACCCCACACCCCGACAACGGAGGCGAGCGGCCGGCGAGCTGGTGAGCAAAAGAACAGGACAGGCTGCATCCTATGCAACTTCTCAGCAACTAAATTCGACGATAAAATTGAGCTTATTTTCGAAAATTCCTGAGATCATCATAAAATAAAAAATAGGAAATTATTTAACTTATTATGGGATACCATTTTGAATGACGTCAATAAGACACCCAAAATGATGTTGGAAATTGAACTGTACAGTTAAGCTACTTGAAATTTTTGCACGATTTGGTACAGAACAAAAGAAAAAACAAACCGTACCCAACGGCAAACATCAGGAGATAAGGCTATATTTAATGAACGCGATTGTAGCCCACCTATCCTGGCGTGAAGGAAGACGGCAAACGCCTGTTTTTACCACCGTGTCTACTTATGTACCCAATCCGAGACGTTTCACTCTGTGCCGTTGACTTAAACAAGGTGTCAAACAGGGTGTCAAACAAGATCAAACAAGGTAAGGCGCATCATAGCGAAAAACGCATCAGGCCGAGGAGACACCTCTCAAGATGAACCATGCCGGGGACACCGACCGACGCGACCTGCGTGCTGCCCTCGCGCATCGCGCGGCTCGTGTGATGTGCGGGGGCAGCACGTGTCCCTGCTCTGACCTGGCGCGCTGTCGCATCAGCCGCTGTCGGCGGCCGCTGTGCCGGCCGGCGCGCCGTCGGCTGTCGCCGGTCCGGCGCGAGCGGTGGGCGCCGGCGGTGGCGACGGGACCGAGGTCGTCGGCCGGGGCGGGACCGAGGTCGTCGGCCGGGGCGGGACCGAGGTCGTCGGCCGGGGCGGGACCGAGGTCGTCGGCCGGGGCGGGACCGAGGTCGTCGGCCGGGCCGGGGCCGAGGCCGTCGGCCAGGGCAGCGACGGCGGCGGCGGGCGGCGCCGTCTGCCGGGCCGGCTCCAGCGGCGGCCGCGCCGCCGGCTGCTCCAGGCCGGCCGGCGTGGCCGGCGGCGGCGGCGCGCCCGGCGGCGCGCCCGGCAGCGGCCGGCACTGATCAGGGCCGCTGCAGCCCTGCATGTCGGCCAGCTGCGCGTCCAGCGTCCGGATGCGCGCCTGGTCCAGCGTCGGCGCCAGGTTGTGCAGCTGGTACGGGTCAACCGTGAGGTCGTAGAAGCTGAGGAAGCCGGTGATGAAGCGACAGTAGAGCCAGTTTTCTGCGCCGCCCACAGCGCGCAGACAGTCATACGTGCCGTTGGAGGCGCCCAGGCAGACGCAGACTGGCCCGTGCGTCCACAGCGGGGGCGTCTTCCAGTGGTCGTTGTCGTGTACGAAGCAGTTGAGGCCCTCGAAGTCGCAGTTCTGGCTGGCAAGCAGGGCCTTCTTACGCTGCTTCCTGAAACGCCAGCCAAGAAATTATCAAGGTCGTCATACGATCGAAGGAAGGAACGTGAGATGGGCAAACCTGACGGGAGGTCCGAAACTATCAATCAAGCCGCTCTTTTTCGAGGGTGCTAATCTTTTTTTTTATAAATTTATCCCGAATGGTTTGTATGGGTGATTTCGGATTCAGAGTACCTGCTAAGCATCGCTTGTTGCGTGTACCCCAAACCCACCACCCAAGCGTGCCGTCCAGATCAACAGCTAATTTTGCCTCCGCCCTTTCGCTGGACAGGAGTGCGGAGGGTTTTACGTGCCGCACAATGCTGCGACACGGCCGCCTCGGGTCTGGGTTGAGCCTCGTTGGCCAGTTGCCAGCTGGCCTTTCCGTTTCAATCGGGTCAAACAATGCGCCCACTCTGGGACTCGTACCCAGTGCCGCTGGATTACGAGTCCAGCATCTTTCCCCAAGACCACGGAGGCACCATCAACCACCATAATCAACCACCTAAACACAAAGTCGCGAGGAAGAAACGACTGTACACGGGGCAAGCGACTGCGGAGGGCTAGCCATTCATGAGTTGTGTTACCGCGGCGTCTCTGCGTGGTATCGGTGACATACCTGCGCCTTTGGCGGCGGCGTTCCCGGCGGCGCTGCGTCCTTTCTTCCCTGCGGGCCTGCTTGGTGTACTCGCGCACCCACTGACGCTCGGCTCTGCAACGATAAGACGGGTTCAATTGGGTCAGCTCACCTGCGTCACGCGGGAGCAGAGGTTTGCTTATCTCTTCAGTTGGGGGGGGGGGGGGGAGGAGGAGGGGCCGGGTAGAAATTCTGCCCGCCCCGGCTTCGGGGATGCCGCGCCCGACAGCTGCACAGACGGCTAGGCTGGAGGCTCTAGCTCCGTCCGCCTCGGCCTCGGGGACGCCGCGGCCGACAGCTGTACGGACGGCTGGGGTGGAGTCTCTAGCTCCGTCCGCCCCAGCCTCGGGGACGCCGCGACCGACAGCTGTACAGACGGCTGGGCTGGAGGCTCTAGCTCCGTCCGCCCCGGCTTCGGGGACGCCGCGGCCGACAGCTGTACGGACGGCTGGGCTGGATGCCCCCGGCTCCGTCCGTCCTGGCCCCGGGGACGCCATAGCTGACGACCGTGAGAACGGCTGGACTTGAGGCCCCCACTCCGTCCGCCCCCGCTCGTCACTCACCGATCGTCCATCGGCCGGCACGGACAGAAGGCGACGTCGCCGCTGTGGCGGCCCTGCTCCGGCACCCTGGCGGCGGGACAAGCGGTCAGCAGCCAAGTCACCCGTCAACGGGGGCTCCAGGCGAGAGCACTCCGCGGTACTCAGAGTCCGACGTTCAGATAGACGCTCGACACTCCGGGGCCGCCGAACAGCGACGACAAACCTCCGCTGCACGCGCACGCACCAGTGGACAAAACAGGCGACAGTGCTCGGCGCTTTGGTGGCCAGCTCGTCCTGAACTGGCGCAACTCTGGATGACTGGACGACTCGCCTAGTCCGGGGACCACCGGACACTCTCCCTCACACACAGGCACGAGGCACGCGTGAGACCAGCGTCAGTGACCGGCCAATCTCCCGAGTGCAACAAATCACCGTTTTTCAGGTGGCCTCTGAGTCGTCTCGGCCGCGCGCCGCGCTCGCCACTCACGTCTTCCTGCGACCGTGGCGGCCGGCGGGCGCCGCGGACGCCGCGGACGCCGCCGTGTACAGGTCGTCCTCGCCGTCCGGGTAGTCCTCGAAGTCGACGTCCTCGAAGGTGGCGCCGCGGCCGCCGAACGGCCGGGCGCGCGAGGCGTGTGGCGGCGCGCGCGGAGCCACGTCCGCCAGATGGCGCCGGATGCTCTGTCGGAGGCGCGCGAGCTCAGGCGCGGCGGCGGCGCGCCACGCTGCGACCGACTAGCCACACATGGCCGCCATGGGATCTCCTACCGCCCTCACCGACAGTCCTGTCCAGCCGAGAACACACGGCCAGTGCGAGATTTGCGCTGCCATGGTGCCATGGCCTGCCGGTGCAAGGGCTGTCGGCCAGCAGACCCAAACGCCATCTCCGGCTCGGGCGTGATGTCACGAGTCAAGTACGGCCCATTTTCCATCTCGTGACCACCCCAGTACGGGAAAACAGCTCGCGTCATTCATCAGAAGGCGAGTGATGCCTATCTGTCACGAAAGGCTAAGCACGCGCCATACATGCCCCGGTGCCGTTACATCTCAGGTCCCGCCTCCGGCTGGCGCCACGGGCTGGGTTTCGTGGGCGGCCGGCCGGCCCGGCGGCGGCGGCGGCTGCTGACCTTCAGCTGCTTGAGCAGCTGCTTGAGCCGGCGGATCTGGTCGTTGACCAGCAGGCGCTGTGAGCGGCGGTCGGGCGTGGCGCAGGTGGTGTTGTCCACGGCGCAGCGGCCCACCGACTGCACGTGCGACTGTGGGCGGCCGGGCGACGGTCACCGGTCGGGCTCACCGGCCGCCACACCGCCGCCGCCCGCACTCGGGGCACGCGAGGCAGAGCCGGACAGAAAGTGACAATCAGCAACACCACCAGAACCGGCATCTGGCCTTTCCGTGTCATAAGCTCACGGCACGCAGATGACGGCGACGACGTAGCGAACAGCGGCGCATAAAGGACGCCGCAACGCATACCGCACGACATGTTACGCAAGAGTGACGAAAATAGTTGGTATGCCACAGATGAAACGGAAGTGTCCTGCCACAAAACATGGTCGGACATTGAGGGCCGGCACCGACGCGCGGCGGTCGACGGGCCACAGCGCTGTGCTCACCTGCAGGATCTGCAGCTCCTGGCCGATGCGCCAGATGTCGTCGTCCACGTGGCTGACGTCCTCCTCCACCACGAACTGCTTCACCAGGCTATCGGCGGGCGAGGCGGCGGCGGCGGCCGAGCGGCGCTGGCGCAGCTCCTTGACGAACCGCACCGGGCGGATATCTGCCGGCGGCACCACACACTGCGCTTCACGCGAACCCCGCGGCAGGACAGAGTGAAACGAGCGCCACGAGCTTCACCGACAGACTGGCCACCATCCGGCGCAGCGCTGCGTCAGGTTAACTATGTATCGGCACCGTTGATGGGCCCACGCTTCCATTCCATCCCGACCCCAAGCAGCTGCCAAAGTCCCGACAGACACAAGGAGCCACGCAACACTAACGCTACATCCGACGTTTCGGCGCATCGATCTCTGCTGCCTCCCAGTCACGCCCGTGAGGCCGCCGGGACCGGACGCGACGACCGCCGCCAGCCCGCGCTCGCCGGCGCCTCACCGCCGTCCATGTGGTCCTTGAGGAAGCGCAGCTGGTCCTGCCGCTCGCGGTGGCGGATACGGCGCGTGCCCTGCACCACGCCGCCGCGGCAGGCGCACATCTGGGGTGCACGCCGCCGGCGCCGACACTTCTGTAGACGCCACCTGGCGACGCGCAGGGCCGGGACAGCGGTCAGCGATGCGGGCCGGCCGGCGCGCGGCACACCCCGGCCGAGAACCGTACGGGGAGCAGACCGCAGCTGTCTGCAGATCACTACGGGTGGGAAGCAAGGACATCTTCGGAATGCTCGCAATTTGTTGTCGCCATTTTGTATGCTCTTGGTACGTTCCTCGGCGTTGGATTTAATGCGGGAAGGAGATGTACATTGTGAGGCGGAAGGGGGGGGGGGGGGGCACACCCGACCGCTTATGAATGGTGCAATGACAACACATCAAGCGGCGTCACTAAAACGCGGAGCGGGAATTAAGGGCCAACAGGCGATCCTTGCAAGGTTTCGCAGGCGGATTGAGAAGCACACACCGCTGAATGGCAAGGATGTGTGACTGGACACGCTGGGCGGCTGACGGACAGGGCACGGTGTGTATCCCACGGAACGATCGGCAGACCCGCATGGCCGCGACAAACCACGGCAAACAGGCAGCACGCATGAACAAACGAAAGGTGAATTCGTCACAACCAACTGGAAGCAGATACACTATGACAGGGCTCGATGAACGACGAGAACTGTCTGACAGTCGCACTTGGGTCGCGAGTGTACCCCACATCGCGTTGATTGATGGTCACTCGCGGCGCCACTGTCCCTACGTCCCGGTATCACCCGCTGTGCGTCTGCCCATCAAGTGCCGACAGCGATGCTCAAGGCGGGCCGGCCGCACCACGCCCGGGCGCCGGTGGGCCACTGATCTCTGGGTGGGCCGGCCGCGCCCCGCCCGGGCGCCGGTGGACCACTGATCTCTGGGCGGACCGAGCGCGCCCCTCCCGGATGCCGGCGGGCTACTGATCTCTGGGCGGGCCAGAGGCCGGCGCAGACGCAGGTGCGGGCTTCACGCATCACTCACACCGCCAACAATCTGAACGACGGACCGGGACCCGGCACAGCCACGTGGCTGAGACCCTGCAGTCACACGGCCGGGACCCGGCACAGCCAAACGGCCGGGACCCTGCACAGCCACACGGCCGGAACCCGGCACAGCCACACGGCCTCAGTCACGGCAGCGACTCGGTCCCGTCTCGAACGGCACTAGGCGACACCGTAGCGTCGCCTAGTGCCGTTCGCCGATACGGGCAAGGACGTAAGCGAATCTGGGAACCGCTACGGCATGTCAGCACCCCGCCACCAGCCAACTATGCATCACTTGATGAAAACCAGACGCCATGGCTGGCGACAGCAACGCTCGATCGATGAAGTGTGGTGTATGACGTGTCATCACACACATCACACATGTCATGTGACGTGTCATCGCACACATCACACATGTCATGTGACGTGTCATCACACACATCACACATGTCATGTGACGTGTCATCGCACACATCACACATGTCATGTGATGTGCCATCACACACACCACATATGTCATGTGATGTGTCACCACACACAGTGACACTGTAGCGGGACGAGGTCAACACCTCAATAAGTGAGGTCATCGGTACGTGGCGCTACAGAGCTTGGAGGTTAAATGCACTGCCAATCAAAACGCAAAAAGGCATGCTCACTAGAGCGCCGCGGCAACGCTGATAGTGCCTGGACCTCATCCGGCGGGAACCCCGATCCATTGGGCCGCGCCGTCTGCTCCGGGCAGCGTATCATGATGCGGTTGAGGACGAGATCCGCCATGCGTGATTCGAAATGTCGTGATTAAGAGTGAGATAACTGCGGTGAATGGGCTGCATGGACAGGCGCGGTCGGCATTTCCTCAACCGAGGCCGGACAAAGCGCCGAAACGCCCTGATTACCGGGCGGCGCCGCACGCGAGCGGACGCCGGGCAACGGGTCTCCGCCGGCTCCTCCGACTGAGTCACAGTCCCTCTGGCGCCGGCGCCGACCACCCCTGCAGCCGACGGCCGGTGGGTACAGGAAAGCAAACAACGCGGCGGCGCACCACGAATAATGAGGATGATTGTAACAGACGGCACTTCGGCGAGGAGCCGGAGCTGGCGGGCTACCTGCGGCCGTCGTGGTAGCACGCCCACTTCTGGTAGGGGCGGCAGGGCGAGCTGTACTCGGGCTGGGAGCACACCTCCTGCAGCCGCTGCAGGGCGCTCACGTACAGCACGTCCTGGTCGTCCGACTGCACGGCTCCCACCCGCAGACTGCGGTTCAGCCGGTGGTCCGGGCGGCGGCCGGCGCTGTCGGCGCGGCGGCGCGCGTCAGGGCGGGCAACATCAACAGCGTCCGCCGGCTCAGATGGCGGAGACCGCTCCGGCGGGGACGCGCGGTCAGCTCGGCGCCCACTGTACTGACACAGCACAGCTCAGCACGGCGCACGGTAGCATAAACATATGCACACGCGCACATTGTCAGCAAAGCGAAAGGTCCTCCCGTCGAGCATTTACGACGGACGGTCGCACCAGAAGCGTGCCTCTCATCAGCTGAGCAGGCTGACGTCACCAGAGATGGTTCGGCGCGAGGCCACCCTCCCACCGCGCAGCCCGTCAGACCGGCGTCCGGACCGCCCGCTCGCTCTCACCCCTCGACGATGAAGGCTGTGGGCCAGGGCACGGCCGGCGCGTCGGCGCGGTCGGTGGCGGCCAGCAGCGGCACAATGGAGCGGCCGTCCATCTGCGGCGGCACCGGCGCGCCGCCCAGCTCCAGCAGCGTCGGCGCCACGTCCACGTTCAGCACGGCCGCCTGGGACCTGCGCGGCCGCGTCGGGCGGGTCAGCGTCCGCGGCGACCGTGTGCCGCCGTCGCCGCGGCAGTGCCGTGTCGCAGCGGCGCCGTACACAGTGCGACGAGCGAGACCCGGGGCGAAGCTCTACAGTCGAGAACCGCACGGGACCACAAACACACAAGGGAGCACAAACAACGTACACACCCACAAAAGAACATTACACAAGTGACGCTCACGTCCAGTTCCCATCCACCGAAGCGCTGCATCTGCAGGGCCAGATGTCGCGCTCGCGCCGGCTGCCCGGCCAGCCGGGCGGCTCTCACCTGCTGCCGGCCCGGATGCCAGGGACCGCGCACCACGAACGGCACGCGGATGTCGAACTCGAACGGGTACGACTTGCCCTTGGCCAAGCCGAACTGGCCCAGGTGGTAGCCGTGGTCCGAGGTGAAGAGGATGTAGGTGCTGTCCAGCTCGCCGGCCGCCGCCAGCCGGCGGTACACCTGCGCACACCGGGGGCAGGGGGTCACGGGGACGGCCAGATCGGGGTCACGCTGCCCCACGCGGGTCACCCACCGCCAAGCGGCCACGGGACAGGTATGGCGCCACCAGAGCTGTGTGGCGGTGCTGCTGCCCAAATCCTTGCCGACGCCGGCACTGCGCCCGCACAGACTCAGCTCATCTTCATCTGCACTCATGTGCTCATCCCGAAGAACTGAAGCCCACCGGACACAAGCCCGCTTCGGCTGGCCGCCTCGCTCAGTCGTTTGACTCGCCGATGTAAACCCTAACCCGAAGAACTGAAGCCGACCGCACACAAGCCTGCTTCGGCTGGCCGCCTCGCTCAGTCGTTTGACTCGCCGTTGTAAACCCTAACACCACGGCTGCTGAGCGTCACTGCAGCGGCCGACACGGCAGCGGTGGCTCAAAGAGACGGCGCTAGCCGCCGCTGCTGCAGTGCCGGCGCCGTGCTCCACAGCCCGCGTCCGAAACGTGAAGCAGTTAGCGCGGGGCAGCCCGCACCCCCGCGTTCCCCACATCGCTGGCCCTCGCCGGAGCGTGTCCAGGCCACTAGGGCACGCCGGATGTTTGTCACGGTCACAGCACGGGCGCGCCCCAGGCCGCTGAAGGGCAGCGAGGGCGGCAGGGTCGGACGTCATCACCGAAATGTTCGTCGATACCAGCATTGCATAAACTTAGCGATGCCCAACGCAGACGTACTCATGCGTTCGTTCCGCCAGGGGAGCCGACATTCCTCCCTTGCAAAGAAGACGCGAACCGACATAAGCCGAAGCAGCAGTCTCGACTGTTTCGCCCCCTCTGAGCCATGCGGCGTCCACACAGCCGCGCCGCCCACGCCGGAACGCCCAGCGGTGTGTCAGCGTGCCGCACCTGCTCAATGCCGTCGTCGATGCTCTGCAGCGTCTGCAGACGCTTGGTCATCAGCATGTCCGTGAACAGGCGCTCCACGCCCTCCATCTTGTCCACGCGCCGCAGGAACCACTGTTTGTCGGCGTTCGGCGCGAAGTCGTACGACGGCGTGCTGGCAGAGAGGAGGGGATTTAGCGACGGGACTGGCGCCGAGATCGTCCGTGCTGACAGAAAGGAGGGGATTTAGCGACGGTCCGTGCTGACAGAGAGGAGGGGATTTAGCGACGGGACTGGCGCAGAGATCGTCCGTGCCGACAGAGAGGAGGGGATTTAGCGACGGGACTGGCGCCGAGATCGTCTCGCCTGCCACGGTGCGCCGAGGTTGTCTCGGTTGCCACGGCGCCGTCACCGCTGATGAGCGACGGCGTTCATTAACAGACGTGTGTGCTCAATGATAGTCAGTGGCGTTCAGACATGTGCGTGTGCGCGCACTCATTGGTGGCACAAGCTATGTCCGTGTGTTCATTGGCGGCAGGTGACGTTCATAAACAAATGCGCGTACTCACTGGAGATCGGTGACGCTCATGAACAGGTGCACCTACTCACTGGAGATCGGAGACGTTCATGAACAGGTGCGTGTACTGGCTGGAGATCGGTGACGTTCATGAACAAATGCATGTACTCGTGTCATGTCATGCCATTGGGGCTTTGCGACACACTAAGCTGCTGAGGCCACATGGCGTCGCCAGCCTCTCACCGTGGCAGGAAGGGCCGGCACCGCGGGAAATCGAACCCCGTACCTCTGGTTTCTCAGACGCGCAGTGGTTAACGCAGACGCGTTAACCACTACACTACCGGCCCCCCTTAAGTGCGTGTACTCGCTGGAGACCGGTGACATTAATGAGCAGGTGAGCATACTCACTAAGTATCGGCGACGTTCATGAACACGTGCGTGTGCTCACTGGAGATCGGTGACGTTCATGAGCAAGTGCGTGTGCACTCACCAGGGGTCAGTGACGTTGATGAACAGGTGCATCTATTCACCGGAGATCGGTGGCGTTCATGAACAGGTGAGTACACTAACTAAATATCGGTGACGTTCATGAACAGGCGCGTATACTCACTGGAAATCGGTGACGTTCATGAACAGGTGCGTACCGTCGATTAACATCGGTGACGTTCATAAACAAATGCGTGCACTCACTGGAAATCGGTGACGTTCACGAACAGATGCGTATATTCAATGGCTGTCGGTGACGTTCGTAACAAGTGCTTGTACTCACTGGTGGTCGGTGACGTTCATGAACAGGTGCGTGTACTGGGGTGCCGAGTCCTCGGGCCCGTGCGGCCCCGGGAAGCTGAGCACCATCAGCAGCGGGTCGTCGCGGTACACGCGCCGCGTGCGCTCGAAAAACGTCAGCGATTCATTGACGACCACCGACGGCAAGTAGTCCTGGAACAATCATTCATAGTGACAGTTCTGAGAAGCGAACACGGACGGAAGATCTCCAGGAAACACAAAGGCGCGTCAGCAGCACTTCGTCACCGGACGCCTTGTGTGCGGTCTGGCTGAGGAGAACATGCGTCACACTGCAATCGGCAAACAAGCAGCGCTGCACCGACATCCGCACCGAGGCGTGACCCGTCGCCGCGGTCCCGCTCGAGCGGTGACAGAGCCCCGTGGGTGTCCAAAGTCCCGCTGCGGGGCGGGGCCGGACCCGCCCCGTCCCGGGGCCGACGGCACTCCGGCCGCGCCGAGACGGCCGCCCCCGGCCCAGCGGAGCCGAACGCCCCCGCAGCTACCGCCGCCGCCGGCCAGCGTGCTCTGTTTACAATCCCGTGGCCGTCTTCCGCGCTTTACGGTGCGGCACTGGCTTCCGACATGCCGGCTCCAGCACGAATTCCGGGCGATAAAGCGGCGCAGCTACGGTTTCAAGAGCTGGAGAGTTTATTTGAAGAAATCTAGTGCACACGAGGGCAATGATCAGGCCGGAAATTATTCAAATAACTAAAATAGTGACAGCTGCTTGCCTTCCACCTCTAATTGCGCATTACGAAAACCATACATATGTTAAGTAACACGCTCTATTCACTTCATCAACTGCTGTTGCCAGGCGACGTCCGTGGCTGAGAAACCATTTAGTTGAATTTACGAGAGCGGTAAGTGCATGCCGTAACTAATAGCTGTAATTTTCGTCTGGCAGGCAACAACGCCACTGCCAGACGCAAAAAGAGTAAAGGAGGTTTTGCCCTTCCAGCACGGACCACGGCACGCCACCCGAAGGCCTGTACACACGAGAAAGGCGCCCGATCTTTCCTACGATGGCCCACTAAAACCCAAACCGCCAGAGGCAAATACACCATCTGTCTGTTCCTGCCCCCGTCTCTGTCCGTCTCTGTTGTCTCTGTCTCTGTTGTCTCTGTCTCTGGTCTTTGTTGTCTCTGTCTCTCTGTCTCTCTGTCTCTCTGTCTCTCTGTCTCTCTGTCTCTCTGTCTCTCTGTCTCTCTGTCTCTCTGTCTCTCTGTCTCTCTGTCTCTCTGTCTCTCTGTCTCTCTGTCTCTCTGTCTCTCTGTCTCTCTGTCTCTCTGTCTCTCTGTCTCTCTGTCTCTCTGTCTCTCTGTCTCTCTGTCTCTCTGTCTCTCTGTCTCTCTGTCTCTCTGTCTCTGTCTCTCTGTCTCTCTGTCTCTCTCTCTGTCTCTCTGTCTCTCTCTCTCTCTCTCTCTCTCTCTCTCTCTCTCCTCTTCTCTCTCTCTCTCTCTCTCTCTCTCTCTCTCTCTCTCTCTCTCTCTCTCTCTCTCTCTCTCTCTTTCTCTCTCTCTCTCTCTCTCTCTCTCTCCCGGGGAGCAAAACATGACGCAAGAAAGGCGGCGCGGCCGGCGCTGGCGTCCGGCCGGCGTGACAGGCGACGTCAGATGTCCGGCCGACACACGGGCCGCCGGCGGAGCACGCTCCGTCAACAGCCAGTCACTCCCGTCCGGCACAAAACGGTTAGCGCTGGCTCCCCTTGGGACGTGCCGACGCCGTCGGAGCGGTCAGCTTGTCTGCTTGTCTGTGTTGTACAGACGCGGACGCCGGCACGTCGGAGCGGTCAGCTGCCCTGTGTTGTACAGACGCGGACGCCGACAGGTCGGAGCGGTTAGCTACCCTGTGTTGTACAGACGCGGACGCCGACAGGTCGAAGCGGGCAGCGGGTCTGTGTTGTACAGACGCGGACGCCGGCAGGTCGGAGCGGGCAGCGGGTCTGTGTTGTACAGACGCGGACGCCGGCAGGTCGGAGCGGTCAGCTAGCCCGTGTTGTACAGACGCGGACGCCGGCAGGTCGGAGCGGTCAGCTAGCCCGTGTTGTACAGACGCGGACGCCGGCAGGTCGGAGTGGTCAGCTAGCCCGTGTTGTACAGACGCGGACGCCGGCAGGTCGGAGCGGGCAGCGGGTCTGTGTTGTACAGACGCGGACGCCGGCACGTCGGAGCGGTCAGCTAGCCCGTGTTGTACAGACGCGGACGCCGGCAGGTCGGAGTGGTCAGCTAGCCCGTGTTGTACAGACGCGGACGCCGGCAGGTCGGAGCGGGCAGCGGGTCTGTGTTGTACAGACGCGGACGCCGGCAGGTGGGAGTGGTCAGCGGGTCTGTGTTGTACAGACGCGGACGCCGGCAGGTCGGAGTGGTCAGCGGGTCTGTGTTGTACAGACGCGGACGGATAGCTGATTGAGTCCACGAGTGCACAGAATGCAGGTCTGGATGGGAACTATCGGCGGAGGTGGCCGGCGCCAGCGTCCTTACCTTGGGATACTGCCAGCCGTGCTCCACGCGCCGGCCGTTGACGTTCATCGAGTAGTTGTAGTACTTGCTGTTCAAGATGAGCGATGACCAGTGGTCCCAGCCGGCCGGCACGTGCTCGCCCTCGTACCGGTTCATGTACTTTCCGAAGTAGCCGGTTCTGCCGGACGGAAGAAAGAGATGAAGGCAATACATCAAGAGCATGCGGAATGACATGTCGTTGATGGCGTAGCAGCAAGTAGCGATGCATGGTTACAAGATCTACAAACTGATGAGATAGAAGTGCTCCACACACAGGAGAGAGATGTATGACGTGTGACGTCACCTCCCTGAGGTCAAGCAGCGTGGGGTCATCAGCTGGCAGTGTCTGATACATGGCCGACGTGTCGTATCGCCTTTTATTGATCGGAGACGAGCTCGCATTGCTCGTCTCCCAGGGAGCCGTCACACTTTCATCCCGTCGGCCAGATCATCAGGTCCTGACAGGCGCAGACGACTCCCCGGCGGCCTCCTCTCTACCCGATCACGCACGCCGCACCGCCCCGGTCCGGGGAGGCAGGGCGGACCACGGAGGGCGACACCGCACCGCCCCGGTCCGGGGAGGTAGGGCGGACCACGGAGGGCGACACCGCACCGCCCGGTCCGGGGAGGCAGGGCGGACCACGGAGGGCGACACCGCACCGCCCCGGTCCGGGGAGGCAGGGCGGACCACGGAGGGCGACACCGCACCGCCCCGGTCCGGGGAGGCAGGGCGGACCTCGGATGGCGGCGCCGCACCATTCGGCAATCGTGTCGGCAACGGGCGGCGCCCGCCCCAGCCGCCCGGCCGGATTACACGGCAAATAATCGCCGTCTGGCCGGGGCTCGGCGGCGGTCGGCACCGGCGGCCGATCACGGGCGGCCGGCTCCTCGCTCGGTTGCAACAAAGCGTGATTAAGTGGCTGCCGAAGGCGCGGCGGGAGCGTTCGCCTGCGATCTTGTTGAGGCGGCAGATGATTACGTCTTACCCGGCTTTGCAGACATGATAAATGATTATCTGGTTAAGCCGGGGCCATCCTGGGAAATAAGGCGTTCCTACCCTTTGCATGCATGCATGCACTCGGGACGACTGAAAGGGCATGTTGGCAAATATACACCATTCAAGGATCGAGGCGCGTATCCCGACCTCCCGACAAAGAAGCAACCACGCCATCGTGGTGTTTCATCCGTCACATTGTGGGACGTGGCGCTGTCGCGTGCTGCACGATACTCCGCTACAGCAGGCGATAAGTGTCAAACCACTCCCTTCTGACTTACCTACATCACATGACGCGTGGATGCCACACCAACCTCGGTTTAGTCAGCAGCGCTTACAAACAGGCCACGGGACTAATAACTGTGCCGACGGTTCGCACTGGCACACTCAGTTATAGCCACTCGCCGCCGAAACTGGAAAGGGTTGATGATGACTTGAGGAAATCGGCGAGAGCGGCATCACACTAACACTTCCCCAGTTGCAGCTGGTGTCCGGGAAGCGGAGACACGGCCGATTGGCCCCACCCACTGACCTGTAGCCGGCTCGCTGCAGGTAGGCGGCGTACGTGCGCTGCTCGTGTGTCTGCTGCCAGAGCGGGCTGCTGCAGTTGTCCCGGTTCGTGTACACCTGCGGCGAGCGGGCAGGCGGGCGGGTGAGGCGACGTACACGTCGGCGGGTGACGAGCGGAGGCGAGGCTGCGCTGCAGACGGCCCGGCCTGCGCGGGCGGCGGCGCCACACCCAAGCCGCGGTAGCAAATGCGGCCACCACCCGTGTGCAGAGTCGGCCATCCTCACAACCCGGCCAGCGGACCTTCGCATGGTGCGTCCGCGGCCAGCGCCAGTTTCCTGTCCCGACTCTGTCCGCGCCCTGACCGGCCCCTGCCGCCCGAGCGCGCCCTGACCGGCCCTTGCCGCCCGAGCGCGCCCCCCCCCCCCCCCGGCCGTCGCCGCACGCACCTCGTGATTGTGCACGAACATGCCGGTGAGATAGGAGCTGCGCGACGGACAGCAGAGCGGGGTGCTGACGTAGCCGTGCCTGAACGTGACGCCCTCCTCCTGCAGGAAGCGGCGCAGCTTCGGCATGTACTTCAGCGAGCCTGCGGGCAGCGCCAGCGCCGGCGGTCAGCTCCGGACTCCCCCGCCCAGTCACAGACAGAGCGGCCCACGGCAGCAGCGCGTCCAAACGTACACACACCGAGGGAACGGGGCCGGCCAGGCAAACAGCGCGGCGGAGCCATGCTGCAAGAGTTTTCAGGCGAGAGAGCGTGCGTGGCACGACCCTTGATTAGACCCCAGATTGGACCCTTGGTTACGAGAGGGTGGAAAGGGGTCCTCTCTAGCCGATTGATTATCACGTGGGCATACAATGATCATGAAGTTCCCGTTATAATACGGCATGCTGTGTGGAGAAGATGTTCAATTTCCTGGCACACATCACCTAAGTTTGAAGACAAACTAGACACAACACCAGCAAGTCATTCCACTGCCAGTTTATGAAGTCATCAAACAGCACCCAGACGTTTAGGCACATTAGATAGATAGGCTTACCGTTCGCAAGCTCATCCAAAAATGCAAGATCATTGACTGAAATGCAAACAAGTGCGCCACATGTTTTGCGGGCAAACGTTTCATCAGCGTAACAAAATGCATGTTATATAATCTCCCTTTCGAGGCCACGTTTCCAAACGTCTTAAGGTCAAAGTTCAACACACCCAAAGTTCCGACCTTGTCTCTGGGAATGCCCGGATGACGTATGCACGATCGCACGGCATGTTCGCCATTGATGACGTGATCGATCAAATCACAATGACCCGACACAAAACACACTGTCAGCCTCACAGCGGCCATCGCATCTCGCCAGCATCATGCAAATGGCAGACGGGTTAAGACGGATGAGTGATGCGGGCTGGCCACGAACGACGGCTGGTACGGCAGCACACGGTAATCCGACAAAATAGCCCCCACAGTGCCGACGAATCCCTGCCGTCACCGGCCAGATGACGGCTGGCCCCAGAATCCATGGCACGAAGGCGGTCGCGGTTTGGCTTAGCAAAGTCTCAGTTTGCCTCCAGTGGCTTTAAGTCAGTTCGTTAGGTACGGATTGTACTTTGAGCCCTTCTCCACTTGTCCTAGCCCCCGGCTCTACCCTCGTGCCATTTGAAACGGTTGGCTTTGGTTTCGGCTTGTGTTACTTCTTACAGCTGGTTTCGGCTTCAGTTTCGGCCTCGGAGACGAAACAATTTTGAAACAATTATGGCTTGAGATCCGACTTCAAACGAATCTGGTCTGCTGGCTTTGCCTTTGCCATGGTTGCCCGTCCTGTCGCCCCAATACACCACACAACTTCTCGTGGTTGAGACGCATGCGTGGCTGCAAGGCAAACACTACCCAGCCATTTTCACGAGCAGTTAACATCAGAAGACAGCCAGAGAACAGTCCGAAACGTTCCATACCGTAACGCACAATACAACGACGGTTGTGCGAAATAATCTTCCACCCGTAATGTTAGCAGACGCGAAAATGATTTTGATTTCGCAAAACGTAACGCACTGTTTTCAACTTCGGCTTCGGCCTCGTGATTTTTGGCTGACAGGTTTTGCTTAGGCTTTGGTCGAAGCCGCTGAATTCGGCTCTGGCTTCGCATGTACAAAATTTCAAACCACTGGCTTCGGATCAGGCTTCACGTTTTCAACATACGAAGTCCCTGGCTTCAGCTTCCGTTTTTGCAGTCCCAAACATCAAAGCGAACAGCCTTGACTTCGCGTCCATAGAAGCTTGTCCTCGACCTCATGCTCGGTTCAGTCATGCCCTTTGCGAAATTTTACGAGTTTTGATACAATTGGGATCAAGGCGGGCGATATGACGTGCATAGAACACAGCATTGCCATGTTATGAGCGAGTCGCAACATCGATATTGATGGGTGGTGGCGTTTTCTCACTTTTTGCATTTGTGCCATTCTTAAAACTACGGGCAGTTAATGACATGGTGCATAACCATGGAACATTGTGAAACATGTACTAAAGTAGTAAACAGTATGGTAACGTCCAACGTCGGCTCCTCTCGGCTCTCCCACACATGACTGGCGGTATCTTTCCTGGACAATCAGACCACTCAGCCACTGGACTGTCAGTCACCGCCATCTTCCGTATGCCCTCATCCTCCACCCGCTGTTGTGCCTGTTCGCTGAGAACGTTGACCACGCGCGGGGCGTCAGCTATGCAGAATTGCAGTGGAGAATATCTTGTTCCCAGATCAAAACTAATGCTGAGCTCCAAGCACGTGATTCGCCTGGCTGAAGTCACACTCTTTTCGCCCGTCGTCGTCGACTTCAGCCTGAGGCCGCGCGCGCTGGACTAGTGACTGGCCGATCTTGCGTTCAATCTGCATACGGACGCTCTCTCCACCGTGTGTGATGAAAGTCCGTGATAGACCGCACAGCTGTAGCCTCGCATTGTTAGATTGTCTTCTCTCATGATCAGCCGAGAAGCGCCGCAAGGCGGGTCTATCGCAGGCCTCCGCGATATGCCGACAGCTGCCGATAGCTACCGACGCTGTCCGGATTAGCCGCTGTCTGCGCGCTGAATCAGCTCACTTCAAACTTGGTCGGCCCGATGATTCAGAGAGCGCCACAAATCAATCCGCCCAAACGTGAAGGCTTCCTGCCGGTGATCAGCTGGCTTTCCGGACGCTGTCGTCCGCGGAGGAGCGCAGACCTCAGACACTTCGCGAGATTCTCGTGTGCGGTTGCATCACCTTTGGTTCTGATTTGCGGAGACGCGGCACCGAGCCCTCCCAAGCCGGCTCAAGGCTAGCATTGCACGCATAAGCCGATGCCAATGGCCTCATAATCTCTGCGCGTGCCAGGCAATTACCTCGACCCCGTAATAAGCGGTTACCCGGTGCCAGCGGTGCAGGGCGCTTACACTCGACACCGCTCACACCGGGGTCACTCTGAGCGAGCGCGAGCCAGCGGTTACCCGGTGCGAGCGGAGTAGGGTGGTTACACTCGACACCGCTCACACCGGGGTCACTCTGAGCGAGCGAGCGCGAGCCAGCGGTTACTCGGTGCGAGCGGGGTAGGGCGGTTACACTCGACACCGCTCACACCGGGGTCACTCTGAATGAGCGCGAGCCAGCGGATACCCGGTGCCAGCGGGGTAGGACGGTCACACTCGACACCGCTCACACCGGGGTCATTCTGAGCGAGCGAGCGAGCGCGAGCCGGACCGGCCTCCTGGGAGCCGTCGACGTCACCCCCGCAGTCAGCAGTCCGCCCGACTGGCGTCCGGCCTGAACACTGTCCACCGGTGCGAGGGGAACCGCGAAGAGGACAGCTCGCTACACACGTGCATGACGAAAATTCAAAGATACAACGCGATACGGAGTGCTCATATCAGCGGTTCATGCTCCACCATAAACATTGTAAAAAGACGGTGGGTGTCTCGTTTGAATGCGCCAATAACAAACCGGGTCACGAAATATCTTGATACGCACAGTGGGAAAATCGACGTGACGTTTTGGTGCATATATATATATATATATATATATATATATATATATATATATATATATATATATATATATAGCCAGCCCTGCCGGTCAGGCTAATGGTCAACTTCCTCACAAGCTGTTCCCCACCCTCTATCGATGTCATGCCGTTCGCTCGCCGTGCAGACCTCCACCGGTCCGTGCAGTCGTACGGGCTAGACAGCTGGTCCACTCACCCAGCTCGACGTCCAGGTCGTCAGCCATGATGAGCACGATGTTGGGCCGCCGGCCGGACGGAAGCGGTGGCACCGTCCAGCCGGCGTCCTTTTCCTCCTCGGGGCCGGCGTCAGGGGCGGCGCCGGCGGCAGCGGGCGCGGGCTCGGCCGGCGCCCAGCCACCCGGTTCGGACGCGTCGTCGGCCGGCACCACCCAGCGCCAGAGCGAGCTCAGGAAGCCGTCATCGCCGTCCGACACCGGCGCACTCGCGTTCCCCGTCGCTGGCTCGTCGCCGGCCGACACTTGCTCGGTCTCGCTCGCCGATGGGCTCTCCCCCGCCACGAGCAGCCGCTCTTCATCCTCTCGTGCTCGCTCCTCCGACGCGAGCGGCAGCTCGTCCCCGTCCTCGTCGAGCGCCGGCTCGTCTCCACCGACGGGGGGCACCCCCTCGCCTTTCAAAAGCCACTGCTCATCGTTGTCCGCAGCGGCGTCCTCGCCCGACTCCAGCAGCTGCGCTCCGTCGTCCGGATGGAGGTGCCGCTCCTCATCATATGACAAGTAGTCCTCATCAGCTGGAGGCGGCTGGTACTCTTCGTCTGGCACGTATTCCTCATCAGTGTAGCCCGAGCCCGCCGCACCCGGCTCGGGGGAGGCCGAATTAAACAAACTAGCACGGAACGCCGACTCGGGCGGCAGCTCGGGCGCCGTGGGCAGCGCGCCGCCGGAGCGCTCCTGGAACGGCGGTGTGAACGGCGCGCGTTGCCGCTGCCGCCGCCGCTTGCGCCGCTCCCGTCGCCGCTGGGCGCGCTGCACGCGCAGCGCCTCGCGCAGCCGGCGCTTGCGGGCCTTCAGATGGCGCCGCAGCGAGCGCGACAGCTGGGGCGCGCGCAGCTGCTCGCGTACAGTCAGCAGGAGGTCACGCACCGAGCTGCCAGTCTCCGGCCGCTGCGAAGTGCCGCGCTCCTCCGGTGGCCAGCTGACGGCTGGTGACGTCACCGAGTGCTGGCGGCGCCGCTGGCTGGATGACTCCTGCAGCAGAACAGCCAGCAGCAGCAGGCTGGGGGATAGCTGCCACACCTTCATCCTGGGGACCACTTACAACACCTGCAACAGATGGTTGGCACATCAGGTAATACACAAGCCATAACACATGACTGTATGGGTACCATATCATGTGGGTACAAAATATTTGAACATCCATTGTGACTATGCAGTGCCAAACTCTCCTCACTGCCCTCGTGCCTGGGGGCAGGCAACACAATGGCATACAATGCTCAGACTGAAAATAATATAAAATGCATGCTTTCTGCATTAATTTATTATACTTCCTAAAGCCATGAAAAAACAGAATGTATTATCAACAAGAATATATACATGTCATTGCTGGCCTTTATGCCTCCAGGGACCTAGCAAGATCTAATGGGTCTGTGGCCTAAATGTTGTTATTGTCTCTGATGACAGCTATCAGACTACACACACTGGAAAAATATGACTTTCTTTCTCCCAGCTTTTCTGTCTTTTCCCTGGATCTAACCATGCCTGATACAGTGCAAAACACATAATAAACACTTAAGAACAGCATATTAAAGGGTGCTGTATATAAAGAAACAGCACACAATAAACCAGTGCATAATTTTTATGCAAGGTACCAAAATCATCAACCATGCTTCTATCAAGTAAAACACACAACAGGCACTTGACATCAATAGATAATGGACAATCCACAAACACCTCTGGACAAGACACAAACACAAGACCAGGCAAATTTGCTCACTAGAGAACTATGCCTGCACAACATCCATGCACCATGCTATGCTTCTAAGTGACATTGATATGATGAGCCAGAAGCATGTGAGCACTTAATTTAATAAAAGCTAAACTGTACATTATTTTCAAAATGCGTTGAAAATAAAATGGATTATTTTTGATAAAGATTTATCTTACAGCATTGTAATCTTGTTCAAGCATGTTATGACACCACACACCAAAATAGAAAGAAGCTAAGCACCAAAGTTAAGGTACTTGTATCTAGAGTTAAATGAGACAGTGCATTTCACTTAAAATTGCATGGTGCATGTTACATGTTGACTGCGGAATGAAATTTGAATGCAATGCAATTAGGGGGCAAAATTCACAAAATTTTGGCAAGCATGCTCTATTCAGGTGTATTCTAACTTCCAGATAAGGCAAAGTCAATTTAAAAACTTAACCTAACTTGAAGAGGGGGGGCTGCCAATTTATGATGTTTTTCTCATGATATTTCAATTAAATTTGAGACTTAAGCCACCACCATAAAATTAAATATTTCAATATCAGTATAGGTGTGTTTGAAGCAAGCCACAAGACTGAGGAACAACGTATGATGACCCGTCATCACTTAGGACTCTACACGCGATATGAAAACAGAAGGACCACTTTTAATTTCCCATTTGTTGTTTCCTACCTGTTGGGTTTATCTACAGTAGCTGGTGAGATGAAACATTAACATGTCTCAACACCACATATTACAATTCAAGACGCAAGCTATCTTTCGGAGCCACCGCCACGGACACAATTACACTGCATCACCACCACCCTTCCCGTCTGAACCAATAATGGAGCGCGACTATGGATAACGCGGAGTCTCTAGCAATAGTTTTGGAAGTGATCCAAGAATCAAGGTGGGGTAAAATGGAAAACCTAGGTAGGCACTTAGACATGAACAACTTAGATTTCGTGACGTCAAATAAGTTTGCAAATGATTGTTCAGTGCAATTGAAAGCTTTAAGCTCTAGCAAGCATATCAAGTGAAACTGATGCCTTAGTTATGAGATGAGCGGCGAGTGATGATCTATCGGGTTCTAATTGCTTGATGGGACCCAACTGATATGTGTGGTAGGACGAAGCAATAATTCCACATTGTGCTACACATTTTTCACGCCAGGCGTCAGGCATTGGGTTATGTATATGCGTTGCCAATGTTTTGACTCTATTGCAAACGAGTCGGTGACATTCTTCTTGCTCGCAAATGGGTTGCATTGGCTTTATTGTTGTTGACGCCTTGTCCGGGTTTATCAGCAAATGTGGGTTTCACATATCGCTATTTTTGTACATTTTACATGAATAAATCGCGTCTTTGCTATGGATGATAAAGGAATTAATGTTTATTCTTTACTTTGATCATAAAGTATCATCAACCTCGGTTTTCCACCCATATATCCACGTACCCTCATGAGTACTGACCATCACGAATCTCATACCTCATTGACCATCACTATCTAATGGAAGCGATTCAAAACACAAATACGAAACTGACGTTGGTGATACAAACATAGGGAGTGCTCGATGAAGTAGTTCCAGAAAAAGCCTGACATCACCTGGAATCATATTGTGTGAACGGACGACCCGTCGCACGTTTGACTGGAAGGATTGTGTGTGATCACCTGTGCTTGATTAAGTGATGCAGACTTCATAGCAAGATAGATATCAGACACCGCCATGTCAGGGTGCGGCAGCAAGACTGGCATTCCCATCCTAAAAGTGGATCACAAAGTTATCAGGGATTCAATTGATATTACTGGCATTGATTGGGAACTTGAAGCCAGGTGAGTAGGTTACCTGAATGTGGAGGTTGGAGAATGCTCTGTCAATGACTGGTGGGTGTCTATGTGTAAGATTGAACCCAGATTGAAAATACATGTTACATCAAACACATGACAGTCTGGCACATCAACAACATGCCTCATGCCGCATAGACTTCAGTATGTGTGCACAGCAAATCTGAATGCGAAGTTCAGCCCATGGTTGCCACCAATTTTAGTGCATAGATCATCATTGTTTCAAGGAGTTGTGATTTTATCAAGGTGGTTTGAGCCAAACATACCTTGAAACCAGTTTCTCATGCAAAAGTGGTTGGAAAACTCAGTATAATTTAGCCTGTTTTAATTCAAATGCACAGAAATAGGTGGTTCAGCTCACTCCTATCACATAGACATCCTGCACAGTGAAATGATCTTTTGCAGGCTGGATTGAGCGCAAGTAGTTCCTGGGTTCTGTTTTTTTGTTGTATATTATGAAAAATAGTTTCAAAAAGTAGTTTCCATGCAAGCTAAGTTTGTCCAGCCAGATTTTATGAACTTAACGCTTTATGTTTGGCCTGTCTGTCTTGGACTGGAACTCACCACAATGGAAGAGCTATCTAGTACCTAGTTAGGTTACTGCCTACTGTACAGCCACATATTCACCTCATATAGGGTCCATTCCAAATACCAGATTTGTTTAAAATTGTTCCTCATTAGGGAACATTTATGGGAAGAGGTGAGATGCTAAATGAATAAAGTGAGCACATCACAGCTTCCAATGCATTTAACTCTAATATTTCCTTCAATATTTTTGTTATTGGACTTGGTAAATCAAACAAATTGGAAATCCAAGTAAAGATAGTCCTTCAGGAGGTTACTGCCTTCCTTCTTGATCTGACACCCCTTCCCACCACATGACAGGCAGGAGGTGCTGGGAAGCTTGGTCAGTGGGTGGGTAATAGCCACATGGAAGTGTACTGTCTGTTCTAGTGTTTAGACAGATAGTACACTCCAGCATGGAAGTGTACCATCTGTTCTGTTGTTTAGGCAAATAGTGCACTTCAGCATGCACATTACCCCGAACTTGAAAGCAACGGTTTTCAAGGGAATTCCATTGAAAAGGGCATAGTTTGCTACCCACATACTACCAAAGGGTAACCTACGAACTGTGCAGATCAAATGCAGCTAAGAATGCCACTGTGCAAAGCATACCAAAGCATGGTGATCTTCATAACTGTGAAAACATTATTTTCATTTCTGTTTAGATACCCTGCCAGGCCTTAAAGCCACACATTTCTCCCCTCCAACTTAAGGATTTCCTTAAGTTATGCCTGAACATCCAATAGTCATGAATTGTCCACTGAATCGTGAATTGTGTGTGTGCATGTGCATGCATCCATGCATGTGTGTGGTGAGTGTGTGGGTGTGTGTGTGTGTGTGTGGTGTGTGTGTGTGTGTGTGTGTGTGTGTGTGTGTGTGTGTGTGTGTGTGTGTGTGTGGGGTGTGTGTGTGTGTGTGTGTGTTTTATGTGTGTGTGTGTGTGTGCCGTAACCTTGCAGGATGGATATTTCTATCTCCAACGCACGTTACTTAGCCCTGGCATTTTGGCCAGTGACTTGTATGATAAGGAGAATGTCCGACTGACCCGCCCCAGAGGCGTGTGATCGCACGTGAGCGAAGCCTGGTTTGTTTTGTGAACACGGACGGCGGCGCCCAAAAGGACGAGCCATGAGATATTTCCGACTGTTCATTCCAAGGCATGGTTTGGTCCCCCTTAACAAACGTTTTATCATGCACACATTTGATTTATCTCACATGACATGACCCGAAACAAAAACAAACCGTTTTTATCCTTAATCCGGTGGTCATCTGAACTCCGAAAATGTCTCATTTATGCTTATTTATTCCGCTTGTGCCTTCGTCAGAACCTGAAAAGTGTATCCCCCGCTCCACGGGGAAAGGTTTTCAACAATATCATTAATTGTACTTTCACTTTGCTCATCGCTTCTATTCACCATGTTCGTGATTTGAACTGCTCAATGTTATTAATCGCAGAGCAACAAATCGTGAAAGATGCTGTGCACTAAGTGGCGCTGTCGGTCTTTGGACATGAGTGTTCTAGTGTGGTTGGTGACGGGTGCTCATCTAGATCGAGCCACCCGATACTCAAGAATGATAGC